GTTCAAGGCCCTTCTGTTTCATTGCATTAAATATATCATGCCATTCTCTTCTGGCCTGTAACATTTCTGTTGGGAAGTGTGATGATAACCTGGTGGGTTTTCCTTTGTAGGTGGCCTTTTTTCTCTCTCTGGCTGCCTTTAATACTCTGTCTTTGTCCTTGATCTTTGCCATTTTAATTATTATGTGTCTTGGTATTGTCCTCCTTGGGTCCTTTGTGTTGGGAGTTCTGTGTGTTTCCGTTGTCTGAGAGGCTATTTCCTCCCCCAGTTTGGGGAAGTTTTCAGCAATTATTTCTTCAAAGACACTTTCCATCCCTTTTTCTCTCTCTTCTTCTGGTACCCCTATAATGTGGATATTGTTCCTTTTGGATTGGTCACATAGTTCTCTCAATATTCTTTCATTCCTGGAGATCCTTTTATCTCTCTCTGTGTCAGCTCCTCTGCATTCCTGTTCTCTGGTTTCTATTCCACTAATGGCCTCTTGCATCTCATGCATTCTGCTTTTAAGTCCTTCCAGAGATTGTTTTATTTCTGTATTCTCACTCCTTAGCTCCTGCATATTTGTCTGAAAGTCCATCAGCATGGTTATGACCTTTATTTTGAATTCTTTTTCAGGAAGATTGGTTAGGTCTATCTCCTCAGGTTCCCTCTCAGGGGAGGATGCCTGTGTGATTCTGGTCTGAACCAAATTCTTCTGCCTTTTCATGGTGATGGGCAGATGTTGCATGTGTCAGCTGGGAGAACAAAATCCCTTACTGCTTGCTCCTTGCATTCCTCTCCTGGGAGAACAGCGACCCTTAGCAGCTTGTGCTGGGCAGCTGCACGCAGACGGGGTCTCTGATTCTTGCCCGGGTCGCTGTGGCACTGTGCACAGCCGCTGTCGGCATGGCCGGCCTCAGGCTGCTGCTCTGGTATGCTGGGGCCACACTGGAGGGGGAACGGCGGGAGGCTGTTTATCATCATGAGGGGCCTCAGAGCTGTGCTGTTGCCCAGGGGGTTAGGTTGCCCAGAGTTCCCTGGGAACTCAGCTGCTGGGCTGAGTGTGCCGGGATGCTTCTGTCCAGCTGTGACATCCCTGTCCGTTAAGACTTTCAAAGAGCACACACTTTTCTTCTGTCCCAGGGGCACTTTCTGCGGGGACCCACTCGCAGGTTTTACTGTTCCGTTTCCCTAGTATCCAGCACCCCATGCAATGTGTGTCTACGCTCCCAGTGCAGATGACTAGGTCTGGGTATTTAGCAGTCCTGGGCTTCCTCTCCCTCCCTGCTCTGACTCCTCTCCTCCCACCGGAGCTGGAGTGAGGGGTGTGCTCGGGTCCCACCAGGCTGTGGCTTGTATCTTGCTCCCTTCGTGAGGTGCTGGGTTCTTGCAGGTGTGGATGTAGGTTTTCCTGTATCTTCTGGTCTCTCTTTTAGGAATAGTTGTATTTGTTGTATTTTCAAAAATATGTATGGTTTTTGGAGGAGATTTCTGCTGTCCTACTCATGCCGCCATCTTGGCTCCTCTGTTTTGGGTTTTTGAGATAGTTTTTCAGCATAGGTAAGAGGAAAAGTGACTTGGTAGTATTTTCAAATTTCAGCAGAGAATGAGTCTCCTCCGAGTCCACTTCTCCAGTTCTTAAGTAAAATTTGGTTGTAGTTTTTGATGTAGGACTCTGATTATTTTTATTTGTGTAATCAAAGAGCATATCAAGCTTAAGTATATATTTTCTTCTTTTTTTAGAATCAGTTGAGTGTAAACTGTATGCATGTAGGGCCAGGCAGGTAACCTAATTGAGTGAAGTGGCTGGGGCCAGATAACAAATGCTGCTGCTGATATTCTGGGATTGTCCCAGTAGGCAGGGGTGAGGGCAGGGAGGGTGATCTGTTCTCTTTCGTGTCTACTTTGCCCAGAGCTGGGTCTGGGACATGGTAGGTGCCCAGTAAGTATTTGCTGAATGATTAGTGTGTTGAAATATCATTTAAGAAAGGCAGTCTGAATTTTTATATGAGGTCTCCAGATTTTGAAGTCATGGCAGCTAGTTAAACACTTTTAATTGTGTAATAAAACACGTCTCTCAAACTGCCAGTGTTAACAATTTGTGACCTATAGCCCTTGTTTCCTGTCCTGTGCACCAGCACTGATCCTTGGGCCTTTGAAACCCTGGATATGTACCAAGGACAGGTGGGGCAGGAAGCTGTTGTAGGCCTCCAGTTTAGATTTCTGGCATAATCTCCACCTGAGAGATGAATGTCAACATTTAAAATAATGATTGAATTACCTTATCATGGCATTCGCTTCATTAAAAATTTTTTTTAATGTGGTGGGAACTTTAAAAAAAATTGAAGTGGTTGGGCTTTCTCTTGATTCTGAGAGGTCTGTCTGATCCTGAGGATAGAGATTCACACATATGTTTTCTATGAAGCCTCTAACTGGCTTGTTACTGGGAAATTGCCTTTGTAGGCTCTTGTAGATCCTTTTCTCTCCCTGTTGCTTGTGTATGCTCTTCTGTTTAATACTTACCATTTATTGTTTTGTGATATTGGTTCATCTCCCATGAGAACTAATGTTTCTTTTTTCCTCTATCCTGTGTCCTCTGTTTCTCTTGGATTAAAAAAATTTTTAAATAAATGATTCTATTCTTTAGCCTCTGTTTTGTTTTCTAAAAGGCTATTTTTCTTGATCAGTTTCAGTGAGTCAAGTCTAATGGGCTAATAAATTAATTAAATCATTTCAATGAGATTAGAAGTGAAATTAACTCATTCACAAATGCTGACCATTTTGGGTAGCTAATGGTAAATATTGTTAGTGCAATTGCTTATGTCATGATTAACTTCTTTAATTAGTATTTAATCAGAACCTATAAAATTGTTAAGTGATACCATTTTATGCTATTTAATTGTTAGCATTTTCTGTTGATTCATTTAAATTCATTTTCTGGGTTCTATTTACATTTTCTAGCAGTTGTGTTTTGTGCAACTTTTTTATTGAAATATTGTTGATATACAATCTTATGTTAGTTTCAAATATACAACATAGTGGTTCAGCAGTTACCCATATTATTAAATCCTCACTCCCACTCGTGTGGTTTCTATCTGTGTGCAGACAAATTTTTTCTGTAACTTTATAGTGTTGTCTTTGAATCAAACATAAATGCATTTCAGAACCACTTGAAGTAGATGTCCAGAATAAAATACCCTATTTTTTGATGGTTTTAAACTTTTACTTTGAAGCAAGATTCTAGGTGATTCAAGTATTATAAAGGAGCATTTTAAATTCACTGAATTTGCTCTTCATTAATTTTTTTTTCTTTTTAAATTTGTTGTCACTACAGAGATTCTTCCAGTTTTATGGAGAAGTAACTGATATACATCACTGCTTAAGGCATACAACACTATGGTTTGATATACACACATTGTGAAATTATTACCACAGGTTCAGTTGGCATCCATCTTCTCATATAGATAAAATAAGAAAAGAAAGAAGAAAAGAAAAAAGGAAAACAATTTTCTTCTTGTGATGAGAACTCTTAGGGTTTATTCTCTTAACAGCTTTCCTATTTATCACATGGCAGTGTTATTAGCTATAGTCATCATGTTGCACATTGCATTACTAGTACTTATTTATTAATCTTATGATGGGCAGTTTGAATCTTTTCACCACCTTCCTTCAGTTCCCCCTCCCTGTCTCTGGTAACCACAGGTCTGATCTCTTTTGTTATGAGTTTGTTTTGAAAGATTCCACGTGTGAGATCAACAGTGTTTTTCTTTTTTTGCCTGACTTACTTCACTTAGCATAATTCCTTTGAAGTCCATCCATACTGTTAGAAATGCTAGGGTTTCCTCATTTTTTAGGCTGAATAATGTTCCATTTGTATATATATGTGTAAATATATATACATTTATATACAAACACACACACACACACAAACACCCCTCTCCCACATAATTTCCTTATCCATTCATCCTTTGATGGACATTTAGGTTGTTTCCATGTCTTGGCTATTGTAAATAATGCTGCTCTGAACATGGAAGTGCATTTTTGAGTTAGTGTTTTCATTTTATTTGGATATATTCCCATAAATGGAATTGCTGGATCTTATGGTAGTTTTTAAATTTTTGAGAATCCTCTGTATCATTATCTGAAGTGACTGTACCAATTTACAGTCCTCCCAGAGTGCATAAGGATTTCCTTTTCTCCATGTCCACACCAACATTTGTTATCTCATGACTTTTTGGTGATAATCCTTGTAATAGACATGAGATGATATTTCTGTGGTTTTAATTTGCATCTCCCTAATGACTAGTGATTTTGAGCATCTTGTCCTGTACCTGTTGGCCTCTTATATATCTTCTTTGGAGAAATGTCTCTTCAGGCCCTTTGCCCAGGTTTTACCTGGGTTATCGTTTTTTCTTGATACTGAGTCATATGAGTTCTTTAGATATGTTTTGGATATTAACCCCTTATCAGCTCTGTTTTGCAAATGTTTTCCCCATTCCTTTGGTTGTCTTTTCACTTTGTTCATGGTTTCTTTTGTTGCGTGGGAACAGTTTAGTTTGATGTGGTTCTTCTTGTTTATTTTTGATTTTGTTGCTTATGCTTTCGGCGTCATGTTATTCTGGTTTAAATAATATTTAACAAAAATCTTTTGCAGACTCAACATTTTCTTTGTACATTTAATGCCAAGAAACACAGAAAGAGCTGACTGGCTTTCTTGCCAAAAAAAGAGTAATCTTTCCCTCAAATTTGCCATGTAGTAAATCTAAAGACTGCCAATATGGTATTTCCTTCTGGATTTGGATGTTCAGGGATGGGTTGGAAGGATTCAGTGATCACCATAAATGGTGAAGAGTCTGGACAGTCCCAGCGCAGCCCTGTGTCCCCTCCAGGTTGATAGTTCCGCTCACCTGAGCTGGTCTTGTTCACGCACCTGTGAATGTATAGGATGAGTGAACCTGTTGGTTTGAAATCTCTCATGATGTTTGGAGTTAAAAATTAAAAGTTCACACTGTTGTTTTCAGGAGCTGGTGATGATACACGAACTTGGGGGCCACCTTTTGTGGGGACAGAAAGTACTTATTTTCTCAGTGTTAACCGAAACAAAAAAGTAAGAATATCATTATTTTTTATGCTTTCTTTGTGTAATTCTCTTATAATAACAAAGTTTTTGATATCATCCTGGCTTGTTTGTTTCTACCCTTTTTTGTAGATATAACATTTCAAATTAGGTTAAATTTTATTCATTCACCATTACCATACAGAAACAGTAGAACTTTTTACTAATCTTCCTTCTCAACTAATTTAAAACATTTCATGAGAATTGATAATCGTTTGTAATGCAAATAGTTTTATTAAAGAGAAAAATCAGTTGATTTTTTCCATTTGTTACTCCTTTGAAGATTGCTCATTGTTACTCTTTTGAGGATTGCTCATTACAATTTGGATTTTTTTTTTACTATAATCATTGCTATCATCTTAACATATCCATATTGCAAAGTAAATCAATAAAGATGATTTGAATGTTTCTTTATGAGGAAAATATATTTGCTTCAGGGAGAGAATCTATGGTATGAATTGTCAGTGATAAGAAAAACTTTATGATACTATTCTAATGTATATATTTTAATTTTTAGAGCATAGCTGTTAATATCAAGGATCCAAAAGGGGTGAAAATCATCAAAGAGGTATAGTATGCTCTATGGAAGGCATCATACCCGCTAGGTTGTAATTAGGGATTTAAACATCAGAGAAAAGGTATTTTAAAACTTTATTTCATTGACAATCTATAATTTTGCTGTAAATGCTATTAAGATTTTAACTTTACTTTTATAGTAAGTATAATTTGGTTTGTAATCTATTGTATATTGTCTATAATGTTTCTCCATACTTGAGAATGTTAGTACTAGCTACTATGGACTGAGTGCCTACATTGCATCAGATCCCAGACTTGAGCACTTTACTTACATTATCTCCTCAAATCCTCAGAATCTGACTTATAAATGAGGTATTAGAATCTGCATTTTCACAGGAGGTAAGTGAATCTCATGAGGCTTAAGTGATATTCCAAAGGTTACATAGCTATTAAAGGGAAGAGCTGAAATTTGAACCCTGGGTCACCTCACTGGTGAGCCCAGCTTTTTCTAATGCCTGTTCACATGGCAGCTATGTTCAGACCTGATTTTGGCATCTTTCCTTGGGGGGCAGGTTTGCATAATGGTTGGGGGCATACCCTAGCATTGGAATCCGCTGGGATTCATATCTTGCCTTCTCTACTTAGTAATTATGTGACTTCAGGTAAATTTCTTAACTTCTTTATGCCTTAGTTTCTTCATCAGTAAGATGGAGGATAAGAATAGTACTTCTTAGGGCTGTTGTTAGAATTGACCTAATATGTGTAAAGTATACAGAAGAATGCCTGCCTTTGTCAGCACTCATTAGCTTTACTAGCCATTATTATTGTTTCCAATGCACATGAAGTTGGATTCATCATGTGAGACAAAACTTGCTTACTATCCTTGTTAAAGGTTAAAATCTAATCGTAAGGATGTAGATCTGCTTGATGATGAGAACCAAATCCCCAAATTTGTTTTATACCAAAGCATCAATTTTAGCAGCATTATTTTGCTTCTACTATCCTTATCTATCTGGCTGATTGATAGATAATTTCTTTTAATTATTAAGATCAGAATTAGTGACCATGCATTTGGTTCTGTTGGATCAATCCAGCAGATTTAGAATTTTGGTTTACTAGATATAGTCTGCCTTGTTTTCCTATATCTTTTCCAAAGTGTAACCTAGGTTTTTTTTTTTCATTTGAAGCTTAGTTTGATTTTTTAAAATTGTTTTCTATTATTGTTGCTTAGCAATATTTTTCTACAGTGGCTACCCTCACTTGCACCCAACTCCCATCGCCTTCATTCTCAGGTCCTTTTTTTTATCTTCTCCTTGGTAGTTATTATTTTTTATCTAGGAGATTGTTCTTTCCTTAATTCTTCTCCTTCTGTTCTGGGTTTCTCAGTTCCCTCTTCAGTGTTCAGAGTTCCTACTTCTTTGCTTCCGTATTGGAACATTTTGGTATTTTACCTTGAATAGTCGAGGTTTCAGGTTTGATTTAACAAAAACCTTACCTTTTCATTAGGGCTTCTCGAAGAGGCAGTATTAGGTGGGATTTGTACTCCTTGCTATGAAGACATCAGTGTACATTTGAATATTTTAGGCTTACAGGGAAAAATCTGACCAAAATAAATGAATTGCTGGGATTTCCTTCTCACTGTGTTTGGGATCCTGCCCGTGTCTTCTATCAGACTATAACAATTAAAAATTAAGTTTGATCATGGGCTGACTTTTCTTCATGTCTGATTGATAACAATAAAGTACATTTCTACTCATATTAAAGGTAAGTGGATTGCCCTCTTGCTATGAAGACATCAGTGTACATTTGAATATTTTAGGCTTACAGGGAAAAATCTGACCAAAATAAATGAATTGCTGGGATTTCCTTCTCACTGTGTTTGGGATCCTGCCCGTGTCTTCTATCAGACTATAACAATTAAAAATTAAGTTTGATCATGGGCTGACTTTTCTTCATGTCTGATTGATAACAATAAAGTACATTTCTACTCATATTAAAGGTAAGTGGATTGCCCGTAACATTATTCATGTCTATTGCTTTCAGCTAGTAATACCTTTCATGAGTTTCATATCTTACTACCCTGAGGAAAAATTGTTTTTTTGCCTAGTCTTAGTTTTTTTTTCTGGCATTGGTTTCTCTTTTGGCTTTAAGAGTAGCAAAACAACCTCTGCATTGAAGACCTTGGTGGTTGTGATTCTAGTTTACAGAAGCAGTTCCAAAGCATTATACAAAGCAACCTGCTGGATACCTGAGAGCTGCAAAAAGTATGACTCCTTTTTTACTAAGCTAACCAGAAACAGGTTCTGTGAAAAACCTCTGTTTAGAAAATCTCTGTAGAGCCTGGTGTTTTCATGGCAATATGATGTGCTAAGTTTCTAACACCATGATTGATGTTTCAAATAATTCTCTGTGTTAATTAGTTGACAGTCTCAGTGGCCATACTGTGCACATGTATAATGGTCAACAGAGAACAATGTCATAGTTTTACTTCCCTGTAACATTTTATTATGAAAAATTCAAACATACAGAAAAGTTGAAAGAATAGCATAGTGAACTCTCATTTACCCTATGCATAAATGCAATAATTTTGACACATTGCTCTATTTGCTTATTTACATATGTATTCGTGTGTGTGTGTGTATGTAATTTTGACCTATTTGAAAGTGAGAGATACCATGAAACTTTGCCCTTAAATCCTTCGAAATACATTTTCAATGAATAAGGACATTATCCAACACAACATTTAAAAATTATTTTATGATTTCTTTTCTCACAAGCATGGTTAAATTGTCATCATTCTGTCCTCCATTTCAGATTTTACTCATCCAGTCTGTTCCTAAATTATATCTAATAAAGAGAATTCAGAATTAGGTACTCTGTATTTCAAATTGATTTTAGTTCTTATTGACTCTGTGACTGGAAGAAATATATATATATATTTTTCCCTTTCAGAAAGAAAAAATGGTGCATTCTCTAACTCATACAGAATTTTGCTTGTTTTTGGGCCAGACTCTAGAATAGATTGCTGGTGATTTGTGAGCACCTAGGCAAGGAAGAGGTGATTGCTGGTAATACTGGGATCCAGTCTTTTTTCCCCCTCAGTTTATTTCCTAGTAGATTATTGTATCAGGGAAATGCAATATATGTTAGGTCTCCACTAAAGCAGTTGACTTGTACAGTACTTGTGGATTGTATAGAGATCAATATAACTCAGAGGAAAATTTTTGTCGGCTCTGATTTCAGTACTGTTCTGTTCAGAACTTTTATGAATGACTTAGCTAAAGCTATAGGTGAAATACATGTTGAAATGGGTGAACATCCTAAAACAGAGGGAGAGAGAATATGTTGTATGATGCTCACTAAGAATCAATATCTAGTGGCTAGTACATATTTAAAATAATTATTTATATGATGAAGAAAAGAATAATTTCTGTCCTATACACTTTTCCAGGGATATTTTATCAATAAACTTCATAAGGCGTACATATTGAGTTCTTGGGTAATCATAAAAACTACTGGATATCTTTATTATTAGAAAACTGTAACTCTTAAACTCAACTTTTCCCTATTTTTCTTATAATAGACCCAGACTACATGGTATTCTGTAGGTAAAAAAATTTTAGTTGAAATTTTTTTTTCTTGTTATACAAGTAATACTTGTTCATGGGCAAAAAAGATCAATATTTTAGTGTATCATATCAAATCTCTTTTTGCCCTTGTATACTCATTCCCCCCTGCCCCAAAATAAGATAATACCATGTATATTTTTTAATCTACTTCTTTCAGTTACTTAAAATATTTTTAATTCTTTTCTATTGCATAATTTATTCATTTTGTTTATTCTCTTGTCATATTGAAACAGTGAATTTGTGGTCCATCTGATGCTTATATGGATTGAAATATGACTTAGTATTTCGTAGGAGTCTAAAAATACAAATATCCTACGTGATTAAACTTTTTTATTGTGGTAAAACATTTATAAAATAAAAATTCTCATTTTAACCATTTTTAAGTGTATAAGTGAGTGACATTAATTACATTCATAATGTTGTGGAAATTTTAACTGCTGTTTCCAAAATGTTTCTATGCCTCAGACAGAAACTCTGCATCCATTAAGCAATAACTCTTCTTCTCTCTTCCTTAAGCTCTTGGTAATCTCTAATTTTACTTTCTGTCTCTACGAATTTGTCGATTCTGGATATTTTATATAAATGAAATCATACAATATTTGTATTTTTGTGTCTCATTAATTTCACTTAGCTTAATGTTTTCAAGGCTCATCCATGTTGTAACATGTATCAGAGCTTCATTCCTTTTTGGGGCTGAATCAGTCTGCTTAATGGATGAATACATTTGCCTCTCCATGGCCAGTTGAACTGTTTCCCCCTTTTGGCTATTGTGAATAATGCTGCAATGAGCATTTGCATACAAGTATCTGTTTTAGTCCCTGTTTTCAATTCTTTTGGATATGTACTTAGGAGTGACATTGCTGGGTCACAGGATAATTCTGTGTTTAATTTTCTGAGGTTCCACACAGGGTTTTTTAAAATTAAAAATAATTTAGTAAATTCCACTTGCATAAGGACCTATATGGTGCACCATGCAGAACATAAGCTGCAAGATATGACCAGTGTAGAAGGTCAGATGTTTGATGTAGTTTGTTTTCTTAAGTGCCTGCAGGACAGCCTTGTAAGTAGAAAATAGGGGCTCAGAAAATAAATCGGAGTGTTACTGTAGTTTTGTGTTTAATACTAACACCCCCACCCCCACTAAGCCCCCAAGCAATATTTGGTAGAACCACTAACAGTAAATACATGCATCTTTACTGGGACTCTCCCTGGAGCATGCTGCATGGGGTTGCCTACATGAGAAGCAGCTCAAATATTGTTTAGCACTTGAAATTTGGAAAAGATGGCTATGTGGCTTGAGATTTGGGGTGCATCCTTAACCCTTTCTATCTATGTTTTACATCTGAATTATATTTATTGTTATTCTTATGACAGGTGGTCACCTGGGCCTCTTACTGCCCTTCTTTCAGGAGCTCTGTAGGATAACAGCTTATTTCTTTGAGATGTCTTCTAAGGTCCCTTCTCCGTCAGATTTTATAGAGTCTGACATTTCCATATATATATTCCAAATTTGGTGACACAATTAACAGGCAGGCCCTCAATTTATTTACATGTCTGCATCTGAAGTTTATGTTAATTAAACTGTATCCATCTACTGCAGAGGTTGGTGAACTATGGTGGGTCAAATCAGGTTTTTGTATGGCCCATGGACTAAGCATGGATTAAAAAATTTTAAAGATTATTAAAAATAAGTAAGATATGTGACAGGCAATGTAAGTGGCCTGCAAAGGCTAAAATATTTATTATTTGACCTATTTCGGAAAAACTTTGCCTACCCCAATCTAGAGTCTTATTCTATTACATTAGTTCATGTATGTGTGAATATATCTAAATCTATGTCAACATGGCAATTAAAATTTTATTGACTAGTTATTAAGCACTTGGATGTGTTCAGGAATTACTGTAATGAATTTCTCTAGGTGATCTAGTATTATTTTTAAAAGATATGTCATCACAATTGAAATTTTGAAAAGAATTTTGAGGTAAATTGGTTCATTGTCCTCTGATTCCCACAGCAGTGATCTGGGAATCAAAATCTGGGTCTTGTTTCTGACAGCTACTGATTCACTTATAGTTTAATAGTTTTTTAAAAGAAAACAATGGTTCATTAAGTACATTTAAAACTCTTTGGAAAGAAAACATATGAAAAGTATGGAAGCATTTCAGAAACATGATTACATGTGTTAAGTATCTTTTTGTGTGTGTTGCAATGAGGACTATTACATGATAAAGATGGAAAGTACTGAAGATATTGTACTTAATTCTTTGTAAATGATTTAAAAGATATTTTTCATATATTTTATATACTTATATTCTAGTTTTCTACTAAACTTCTTAGAATGTATTTGGACCATGTAGCCTAGATATTTCTTGCATTTAACATTTGCGGAATTTATTTAATACTATAGGACTTACTGAAAATTTTAATAGCCATTGTTTTACTGGTGATAATAGCTCAAGTAGTTGACCAGAGCCTTTCTTTTTATCTAACTCTACTTTGTAATTCTACTTTTTCTGGACCATACAAAGTGGGAGTCAGTTGTGTTTACTGAAATTAGAAATCTATCATGTGGGGATTTGTTGAAAGTTTCAAAGTCCCTTAAGAAGTCTGACTCATCTTCATCTCTTCCTTCAGCTTGCAGCTGTTTCTGATGTATTTGTGGAAAACTATGTGCCTGGCAAACTGTCCACAATGGGTCTGGGATATGAAGATATAGACAAGATTGCTCCCCACATCGTCTATTGTTCCATCACAGGTATTTCAACCCCACACACTAATCAGTGAGCAGGTTATCCAATGTCTGTGTTTCTTTGTTTATGTAAGAAACCTCTTGCTAGTTTTGGTTTTCTAGAAGTAATTCTGCTGTCCATCTGTTTACCCCCCATGCCAATTTAAGTTGCTGAAAATTAACCATGAAGGTATATTAACATAAATGGCATGTTTCACATATTTATTGGCTATTTTTATTTCTTCTGTAAATTTATATGCTTGTAGTTTTTGTCAAGTTTTAATTGACATTCTATAAACATTTATAAAGTACTGTTATTAACTCAAATATAGAATTATAGGTGAAATATTTATTCACTTTAAGATAAATAGGAACTTAACACATCCTTTCAGTATATTCAAATGTGCTAAGCAATGTGAAGGAAAGCAGTGCTATGAAGTCTTACAAATTCTTCAGCCTTTGCTGGTGAACCTCATACGTGTGTGTGTGTGTGTCTTTGGGACAAAAATAGACAAAAGTCATCATATTAGTTTTACATATTTTATTAACAATTAACTATTAGTTAGGCATCAAATATAGAAAAGTGGCTGTTAAAATTGAAAGTTACATTAGTAGTTTTTGTCAGAAAAATCCATATTTTCAGTCTTTATTAATTTATCCACCAAATATTACTGCAGGTCTTTCGTCTGCCAGGCAGTAGTCTAAGGTTTTGGGATATAGCAGTGAATAGCATATATTTATGTTTTCAAGGAGATTTACATTCTAGGTTAGGTAGCTGGATAGTAAATAAATAAATGTTTTTGTTGATTTTTCTTTTTTGTAATTGAGTCCAGTAGTGATAAGTGTTAAAGAGAGAAATAAAGTAGGGTAAGGCCGAGGGGGTGGGAAGGAGCCATTTTATACTGGGAGGTGAGAGATAGCTTGTTAAGTTGATATTTGAGCGGAGACCTGAATGAAGTAAAGGAGTGAATCATAGCAAAGAGGATATCAGGCAGGGGAATGGCAGGTGGAGAGGGCCTGAGGCAAGAATGTGCTGGGCATGTGTGAGGACCAGCAGGTCTGGCTGAAGCAGAATGAGCGAAGGGGACTGTAATAAGAAGAAAACCAGGGAGATGTTGGTTAGCAAGATCATAAAGGGCTTGTGGGAGGCTATGCTTACGGAGTTTGGCTTTTACTAGAAGTAAGATTGTATGCTAATGGAGTGTTTTGAGCAAAGGAATGATATGATCTGAGAAATTTTTAAGAGGATCACTCTAGCTACTATGTTGAGAACAGACCATAAAGGACAAGGGAGGAAGAGGGGGTACAATTATGAAGCTATTGAAATATTCCAGGCTGGAGATGATGGTGGCTTGTATGAGGGTAGTAGTGATGGAGGCAGTTGAAGAGTGGTAGGATTCTGAATATGTTTTCAAGACAAAGTAGATAAGGTTGGCGAATGGATTAGATGTGAGTGTCAGAGGAAGAGTACAGTTAAGTATGACTGTAAGGTTTTGGCCTGAGCAATTAGAAGAATGGAATTGCTCTTTGCAGAGTTGAACAAGACTATGGCAAGTTTCGGTGGGGAAAATGTCAAGAGTTTGGTTTTGGACATGTCTAGCTTGAGATACCTATTAGATATCCAAGTGGAGATGCAGAGTATAGGATTGGTCTAAGAGTCAGGAGTTGAGGGGAGATGTAATATTTGATAGTTATGAGCAATTAGATGGTATTTAAACCTGGTTGAGATCATTCAGAGTGATTGTAGGTAAAGGAAAGTCCAAGGGGCTGAGCTTGCTGTACTTCAGTGTTTGAGAGATGTGGAGGACATGGGGAAGGAGATTGAGAAGGGATTGTCAGAGAGATAGGAGGAGAACATCCCTGAGGCCAAGTGAAGGAAGTGTTTATTTTAATAGTTTAAGCACAAAGGCATAAAGCATATAGCATATATGGACCTGAATTACTTGTATTTCCTAAATCCACCATGCTTTCTCTGACTTCAGAGCCCTTGCACACGATGGTCCCATTAGTTGGAATACTGCTCCCCTACCACACCTGGTTACTCTTTGTTCTTTGGATCTCAACTGGGATGTTATTGCTTCTGTGCAGACTTTCTTCATCCCTCACAGTTGGGTTGGGTGTTCTGTATCACATTTTGTATTTGCTTCATTTTTTTTTATGAAGTGGTGTTCTTTTTTTTTTATTAAAGTATCATTGATATACAATCTTATGATGGTTTCACATAAACATCACAGTGGTTTCAACATTTACCTGTATTATCAAGTCCTCACCCCTCCATTACAGTCACTGTCCTTCAGCATAGAAAGATGCAATAGAGTCATTACTTGTCTTTTCTGAGCTGTACTGCCTTCCATGTGACCTACCTATATTGTGAGTGCTAATTATAGTGCTCTTTCATCCCCTTCTCCCTGTCTCCCTGCCCACTGTCCCCAGCCCCTCCCCTTTAGTAACCATTAATCTCTTCTTGGACTCTGAGTCTGTTTTGTTCCTTCAGTTTTTCTTTGTTTTTATACTCCACAAATGAGTGAAATCATTTGGTACTTGTCTTTCTCCGCCTGGCTTATTTCACTGAGCATAATACCCTCTAGCTCCAACCAGTTGTTGCAAATTTTGTCTCTTCTTGCCTGCCTCCCCTCTACCCTCCAGGCTCTTGTTCTATTCAGTTTCATATGTAGTGCAGACCACATGGTGGGGACTCAGAAGTTCTTGAATTAATGAAAGAATAATCAGAACTTGACTAAACAGTTGTTTGAGCTGCCTTTTTTTTTTTCCTGCATTTACTTGTTAGAGATAAGGGTAGGTGGTAAATTACTATGCTTACATTTTCCAAAGAGACTTTTAGAGGGTATAGGCTAGAGTTAGCATAGTTGGCCTAGTCTGTTACTTCTTCTACTGTTTATTCATAGCACTATACAATGATCATTGCTTTAAGGTACCAGAAGAGCCTGTACCATGAAGTAAATATTCAATTATTGTCATTATGCCTTAGTTTCTTTTTTTAATTGAAGTGTCATTGATACACAATCTTATATTGGTTTCAAATGTACAACACAGTGGTTCAACAGTTAACCATATTATTAAATCTTTACCTCATCTAGTGTGGTTACTATCTATCAACATAGAAAGATGTTACGGAATCATTGACATGTTCTCCATGCTGTACTACTGTCCCTGTGACCAGCTTATCTTGTGATTGTGAATTACTATGCCCCTTTATCCCCTTCACCCTGCCTCCACACCTATCCCAACCCTTCCCTCCCCCTTGGTAGCCACTAGTCACTTCTTAGTGTCTATGAGTCTACTGCTGTTTTTGTTTCTTCTGTTTTGTTTTGTTGTTATACTCCACAAGTAAGTGAGATCATATGGTATGTGTCTTTCTCTGCCTGGCTTATTTCACTGAGCATAATACCCACTAGGTCCATACATGCTGTTGCGAATGCCAAGATTTCTTTTCTTTTTGTGACTGAATAATATTCCATTGTGTATATGTAACTTCTTTATCCATTCATCTTTTGATGGACACTTAGGTTACTTCCATATCTTGGCTATTGCAGATAGTGCATATACCTTACATTTTTTCCTAAGGCAGGAAGGGGAACTAGCACATTTAAAAGAGATTTTAAAAAGGAACTAAGCTCGAGTTTTATTCCTTATTTTTCAGTAAATTTAGCTTAAAAAGGTATCTGAAAATCTTTTACTGTGAAAGTGACAAAAATATGTTATCTTAAAAATTTTTGTTACTAACAAAATAATAATAGCCAAAATTCTCCTGTTTCTGTGCATTCAGGTTAACTGAGATATTTTACTTAGACTATGACACATTAGTTTAGTGTAAATGCTTTTCTCAGTATAATTATCTATGTGGTGGTGTTTTCATATAAGTCAGTTATAACTGGAATGTTTGGCTGACTGATGTTTTAGATAGAATGAAGAGCTCAGTGATCACTTCTCTGCTGAATCAGTGTGAGAGCAGGTTCTGTATGTAGTAGGGACTTCTTGCTACTAGATCTCGTTTTTAGAGGTACTTTTTTGTAGCTTTATAATCACACTTTCATTTTGTGTCTATATATTAATATTTATATATGTAATAGAGAGGGAGAAATTTTTCCTTAAGATCTCATAGTTGAATGAAAATAAGGTGTGAAATATTGAAACAGGCAAAACAGTATCTTTTGAATTACCCTATTACCATAACAATGCTGCATAATTAACAAAGGCAAAATCTTACCTGACGATCAGTATTTATTTCTCATTCTCATGAATGTGGGTTGGCTGGGGTTCAGCTGATCTAGACTGGTTAGATTTGGCTCCACATTGTAGGTTGGAAGCCTGGTCTGTCTCTAATACTCCTTGGGCCAGTGGCTACCAAATGCACATTCCTTTCCTAGTGAGAGGCAAGAGCACAAGAGAATAAGCCCAATTTCACAAGCACATTTAAAGCCTCTGCTCATATCACATCTGCTAACATTCCTGTGGTCAAGGTAAGTCATGTGATCACATTTAGTACCACTGGGGGGTGCTATACATTTCATTGTAGAGGCAGGAATAGTGGTCACATGGCAAAGGGCGTGTATTCCGAGAAGGGTGAAGATTGGGAATAATACGGCATTGTTCACATTGTATCACATTCCCCCAGCCAAATAAAGTGCTAGTCCACTTGGTAAGCCTCACACTTCCCAAAGTTTCACATCTGTAACTAACTACTGGTTAGAGTCCAAAGTTCTTCTGGGCATTAGCTTGTGACTGTAGAATCTCTTAAGTTTTCTTCCAGTTTTGAGATCCTGTTTTAACATTTAGTGCAGCAAAGGGCCTTGGAGAGATTATATTATTCAGAAGTTCTCAGCTTAAGGGAGAATGAGGTATCATATGTTTTTCAGTGACAGGGATGGGGGAATAAAGAGTTTATGGGGAGAGGCATGTGTAGTCTGAAAAAGCACCTCTCATAATTCTGTAAGCCCTTACATCCCCACCTCCTGGCAGTCATGTGTAAAACATCCATACAATTCATTCTCTATATCCTCATAAGG